TATTGTCTGGGTTCTGATATAGTCCAAGCACTGTTCAGCGTACTAGCTTCATCTCAAATGAGAAATATTGACCCTATATAAAACCTTTAGAAAAAAATAGGAGTAGCTGGTCTGGACCTGCAACAACCAAAAACATTTCAGTAGTGCTGAAATGTCACACCTAGCAACATACAGGTGCTTGGACTCAACACAGGTAACCCACATATATCTGCAGTTCATCTTTAACACAGATGTGGTGGTACTTTTGCTTCTTCCTGATAGGTGAAAAATGCTTTTAAGAAACTTCCCTTTATTGCAGACATGAAAAAAAATGAAGGCACAACTGGTAAGGTTGAAGAAACAGAGACTGTGAGTGATAAAAATAGGATAAGACTTCAAAAGCTTGAACAACTAATACAGACAAACAAAAAGAAACAGTTGCAGGTACTACTTGCATTCACAAGTTATTTGAGATTAACTGAAGAAGGGGCTAGCCAACATACATTATTTGGGCAATAGATAACACTAATTTAAGAAGAACTTTCATCATCTAATTTCACATAAAGTTACAAAGCAAGTCACACTAAAGGAAATATTGTTAAACTTAATCTGGATTAAAGGAAAAGATGACCTACCGAAACCAAGATTTAATAACAACTTATAATTAAAGCAAAATAAGAACATTCACCTCAATATCAATAAATTTTGATGCAAAGAGCACATTCTCCTCAGAGTTTCTATGAAAAAAAGAATTAAAACTACAGATCCTTATTTTGTCTTCAGTTATGAAAATAAACTCTTCTCCTGTTCCAGTTCTTCAATACTGTTCAGAAATGTAATGATATAAAGTTTCCCACAGCTCTACAATTAGAGTTATATTGAAAACTATTTCATGAATGATTAACAGTGGCACATAAGATCCTTTTTGCAGAAGATCTGGTCAAGTCATTCAGATTTAGGACACCTTCCTGTGTTGCAACAGCTGCAGGAATGATACGAAGTGATCCAAGAAACTAGGGGTTCCCTGAAGAGAATCTCAGGCTGGAGAGAAACATGAGATGCTGCCTCTCTGCCACAGGATGCAAACACCAGTCCATTAGAAGAGCTAGGCTGTCCCACTCCTGCACTATGGTCTGGCCTTCCTCCATTGGCCAGGAACAAACTAACCATGTGTACTGTAATTGGCAGCCTCCTTTCATAGTTGCCATAGCAGGGATTTACTTCAAATAACATCAAGTCCTTAGATTAATAACTAGAAATCTCAGTGGGACAGCATACAAGATACTGTCAAATGCCTCTTCTTTCTCGTTCAACTCTAAAAAGTTCCTTTACCTCTGAACACTGCTCTTGAAAAAAGAGCATCCTGAATAGCTAGAGGGCCCCCAAATCATTTTATATTTGAAAAGTTGCCTAATAAGCGGATTTCCAACCTGGCGTTTAGAGCCTTCCTCCTTTTCCTTGCTGCTAGAGGAGAGGAACATGTAGCATGTCAGGAGCTCACAAGAGCATACATAAACAGGCACACATAGTATTAAAAAAACCCTTTTCATCTTTAGTTGTCCAGTGTTTCTTCAGGCATTCTAAAGCTCAAGACATGAGAGCCTACTGCAGCTTTTGAAGATAGCCTCATTCAACTGCTCCATGAAGAGCCAGTTTGTGCCAGCAGACAAGGTCTTTGACTTTCTTCAAATAGTGCTTGCCTACTACATCAGTATATTGCTACTACTATGTCTGTGCAACTCTGTTTTCTCATGGTTGACAGGTCCTAAGGAGAAAGTGATATATTAGATGCTTTAAGTGAGATACTAAAGCTCTGCTGCAGTCAACTGCTGATCAACTTTGAAAACTCAGTCAACTTGAAAACAGACCCCCTATTAACAGCATTCAACTAACAAAAAAACCTTCCTTTTTCCCTGCTCTATACAAGAATAAAAACAGACCATCTTAACCACATGTGAGCAGGAAAACAAAGTTTGCCTTTGAATAGAAAGGTGTAGTAACTGTAGATACTCCTTTAATCTCTTCGAACAAGGAGGCTGTCTAAAATATCCCTCTACCTGACCTAGATGCAACAGAACACAGCAGAAGCCTGCCCCAAGTCAGCAGGGATTCAACACACTGACATTACACAGTGCACTTCAGTCTGCTTTTGTATTTGTTCTGAGGCGAAAGAGTGGCAGTACTTGCAACCACAAGCTGAACGTGAACTTCTGTTGCACAGGGTATGCTTAGTGATCTATTTACCAAAAGAACAGTTTTGATTAAAACTCGCAACAACTTGAGCTTCTGTGAAGAACACACTCAAATGTCAGTTAGGGATCTGAAAGTCATCTAAGCGTTACTTAGACAGGTCAATTCATAAAGGATCCACCTACCCTCTTACTGTACACTCAAGGACAATAGAGTACCTGTTTTTATGTATAAGGTATTCATACCCTTAAGAGCACCCCTCTGTACCTAACTCAGAGCAGAGATCTGCAGATGAGAGGATTGGCACTACAGCAGTAAGCAGCAAGCACTCAAGCGCAGTGACTCCTGCGCTTCCCACGTCCCAGGTGATAGGTGGACAACTGTCTTAGTCCCCAATCACATTTACTGTTAGATCAGAAGCTACAGTGTCAGTCTTCAGCACATTTCCTTCCTCGGCCATACAAGTAATTTCTTTCTCCTTTTGTAGGCCCTCACCTAGATTCCCATCTGTTTGCATCTGCTCCAGAAAGGCTCTCAATTAAGAGTCAGTTTTACTCTGCAAAACTGGAACAGCACAAAGAGAACTGTCATGGCTCACTTCAGATTTATTTTTGATGCACTATCCTACAGCACAGCTTCAGAACAAAACAGCACAATTTTAATTCCACTCAGAAAACTTATATGGTGCACGTATGTAGCAACAGAAGCAAGACACACAGTTACAGACAGTAAAAAGACTATTGTTCCCGCCCCCCCCCCCCCATACAAGCATACAAGTTCTGTTTTCACACTTAGAGTCTTTCAACCCTGTTTTGCAGATTATTTCACCCCCAGGCAGACAGGTGCTCCAAATATGATCAGCTTTGCTGCAAAAAAAGATACACGACATTTATATAAAGTACAACTCAAAACTCAGTTCTTTAGCTACAGATAATCATAAAGCTCTACACTACAGCTGCAAGTTGAACTTGAAGTAGTTCATACCGCTATAAGAAGCGTCCCTGAAAAAATGCAGGTACCAAGGAATAAAACACTTAATCTAATTAGAAAGTTGATTTGCAAAGCCTTTGATGGGAGCAGCCAAGGTAACCTCCACTATTCACTTAGCTCATTTTTAGCTAGAATGAAGGCTACAGGATAGACTTTGAGAAAGAATCAAAAAAGATGCGATTAATAAAGAAAGTGAAAATGCTTGACTGTAGCAAGTTTTGGGGGTTTGTTTTCGGCTTGGTATCCCCCACCACAAGCTTGTCATTTTAACACCATCCAAAACAGTAATCCAAAAGACAATAATTTGATTAATTTTTCAAGTTTTCCATAGAGGAGAAAAGAGACTCTTTCCAAAGGGAAATACATTTGCTTTTGAATGGTTACTATGTAAGATAATATGATTGCTTCTTTGCCTTTTAATTATAACTTGTTAAGAAGAAGAGTGTTATGTGTCTTCTTTTTTATAATAGTAATTTCAATGTATGTTTTACTGTAAAGGACTACTGAAAAGTCTTTGTCATACACTGTCTACGCGTTGGGGTAAGATGTAGCTGTTACATGCTGGAAATAAATTACACTAATCAAAACATCTAAATGCAAGAACACACACTCAACCTGTGCAATTTCCAAGCTGGGCATCTCTGCAATACCCTCTCTCTTGGAACTGTACTACCTTACTATCATATCCCACAATAGTATAGAAAAAGACTTTTTGGCTTAGCCCGAACAGCACAACCCATCCCTTTAAGATGGAAATGGGAGTAAAAGCACACTGATTTTTTTTTTTTTTTTGCAGGAAGCCTTGGTTTATTATCCTCTTTTTGTAATCCGAGGCCAGCGAGAAAACATGCGGATTTGGTTTTATTTTTCCCCTCTGCAAACTTCGCTTTCCTTCCACCGCTTTTTCACCAACACACACAGAAGGGTACGAGGCATGCCAGGCTTATTAGACGGGTTTGGCGCAGGAAGTGTCAGTCAAATTCTTCCATTTGCTTTGACACGGGTGGTGGTGGGTGTTCAGACGAGATAAACATCCCCGTCACACCCCCCCCCCCCCACCCCTTTCCCTTTTTTAGGTTGTGACGAGCAGGAGGGGAACCCGCTGGCCACGACGGGGGCCGCTTGTCCCGCTCCGTGGCTACCCCAGGCACAAGCACCGGCGGGCTGCCCGCCCGGCCGCACCCGGCCTGTCCCCCCCGCCCCCTCCCGCGGCCGGAAAGAGAGAGCGGCTTCTCTTCGGCGACCGGACTAGGTGGGGCTCCGGCTCGGACTTCCCGCTGACAACGACGGCGGCAGCCGGGGACCGTCCCCTTCCCCGCCCGCCCGCGGCGGGGCCGAGCCGGGCGTCACCCGCCCCTCCCCGCACACCCGGCCGGGCCCCACGTCGCGGCCCCGAGCCGCGGGGTTACAACTTTCCGCTTCCGCTCCAACTTCTGCTCCGGGGACCAGCGGGAGGGGAGGCGGGGTGGGGGTGGCGGCGGGCAGGGCCGGGCCCTCGGCCCGGCGGGCAACGGCTGCCCCTCAGCGACCCGCTCTCCCCCCCCGCCCCCCCCCGCGCTGTCCCCCCGCGCCTGAGGCCGGACGAGGCGGCAGCTCCCAGTTCCTCCTCCGCCATGTTTCAGGCTCGTGCCCCTTCCCTCACAGCGCGCCGCTCCCCGCCGCCGCTTCTCTGCGCGTCCCCCCCCCCCCCCCCCCCCCCCGCGCCCGCCTGCCTGCCTCTCGCCGCCGCCGCCCCCACCGGCCCCGTCCCCGCCCCGCCGCGCCACCTGTACTAGACACACCGCTCCCCACCCCATCGCCAGCAGCGAGCCCGGCCCGCGCTCCAACCGCCGACCACCTACCGGACAGCGCCTCCGCTCCCCGCCGCCGCCGCCGCCTCGCCGGCCGAGCCCGCTCCGCTCCCTCTCGCTGCCTGTGCCGGGGCGCGGCTTGGGGCCGTCGCCGTGACGCCGCACGCCCAGCCTCGCTCTGGCGCGGCGGGGGCGGGGGCGGCGCGGAGGGGAGGGGTGACCTCGCCGCTCCGCTCCCTCTGCGCAGGCGCGCAGCGCCGCCGCCCCTCCCCCCATTTCCCCCCAATTCCGCCCCCCCCCCCCCCCCCCCTTCCATCCCGTACCCCCTTGTATCCCCCCCCCGGCGCCCGCGTCGGTGCGGCCGCCTGGGCGGTGAGGGGGCCGCTTGGCCTCCGCGGGGCACCGGCACTAACACACGGTCCCCGTCACCCCGCCGGGGCACAGAGCGGCGGCGCGGCTGGTGGCGGGGGCGGAGGGGATGGGGACGGCGGGAGGGGGATGGCAGGAGGGAGAGAATGGCCGTCGCCTCGGCGGCGCTGCCTCGCTGGAAACCGCGCTGGGGCGGACCGGGCCGCCTGCGGCCTCCCCCGGCCTGCCGCCGCCGCCGCGGGTGGCAGCGAGGGAGGGAGAGGCGGCCTCCCCCGGGGCCGGGGGCCCTCGTCCACACGCTCCGGCTTTGGGCTTGGGAGATTATTACTCAGGGGTGGAGCGTGAGGGAAATGTGGGGTTTCAGGGGCTGGAAAAGCGCGCTAAAGCTGGGGTCCGGAGCCCAGGGTTGCCTTGCGGTACCAAGCCTGTGATCTGTGCCCCGTCTCCTGTCAGATGATCTCGAAAACACTTCGTGCTCCATAGCTGTGCCTACATCAGAATGATGCAAGTCCTTCTCCCCGAGTTCTCGTTAGGATAACACAAGTCACTCTCCCCCCAAGTTCTTGGTGTAACACTGTCCCTCACTGGCTTCCTGTTGGGATAACACAATCTTTCTCAAGTTCTTGTTGGAATAACGCGGTCCCGCTCTCCCCGGGTTCTTGTTGGGATAACACGGTCCCTTGTTCCTCAAGTTCTTGTAAGCCCCAAGTAGGAGCCATAGATTAGTTACAGCTCAAAGGTGGGTCAAAACCACACTGTGGTTGCTTTGAGTTAATTTAGGGCACTGGGAGGTGGAAACATAAATGCTGAGACAGTATTTCTTAGATTTCTGAAAGGGTTTTGATAATCCATTGGTGAAGGGTGTTTTAGAAATGTAACTTCCTACTGTTTTTACATGGGTTATTACACCTCGGGATGTGAACAGCCTAGCTTTAGCCCTGCTGATACAAAGCAAGATGCCCATTGCCTGCATGTGTGGTATTTCTTGACTTTTTGTCTGAGCATCACTAATATTTTCCAGTTAACAAAGGGTTTAACTGACAAAGGTTAAAAATAAATAAGCATTCATGTTTCTAGGAAACAATTAGTAAGCAAATAGTTAAGGTGGTACATTCAGATAAAACTTAAGCTTTGAGAAAGTCCACAGCAGCGTGTGTAAAACCGACAGGAAGTTGCAGGGAGGCTTCTGGCAAGGAGAGTGGGTGTGGAGGAAGCACAGGCTTTCTGTTTGTAGCACAGAGATAGAAAAGGGATTAAAAAAAAAAAAAAAAAGAGATTACATTTCCCCAAGTTGCATGATGGAGAGTTCCTTGCTATAACTGTTTGGAGACCATACAGGTTTGAATGAATGTGTGGGAGATGCTAGAGCTCAGAGCAAATGGAATCAAAGAATGACCGGGGAAATGAACTGCCCTTGGTAAGAGAAGCTTCATCTAGATTCAAGGAATCCAGAAAGTGACGCATTTAAAAAATATTTCTCTTTTAGAGTGTTGCTCCCAAATCCCAAACGTCATAAAATCTCTTCCAAAGTCCATACAAATCTCTTGGTGTTTTACAGCTTAAACCCTTGTGCAGTACTTGGATAATGAATCCCTGTAAATGACGGATAATGCAAGAGAGCTCAGGTTGTGAGGAGTCAAGTACATAGAAACCAGTCCTTTCTCGGCGAGGCATCCTATGCGGGGCAAAATCATTAAAGAGAGATGTCAAAATAGATAAAATACAGCCTCTCCAGTAAAAATCATAAGAGTATCTCATGCAATTATTAGATGTATAGCTTGTTTACTCACCAGATAAAAAAACATTTCTGTTTCCTTAGTCTTTTCTGTCAGTAGGTATTATTATCCGGACCCAGAAATATTCAGAGAAAAAGAACAACCAGAAAGATATATCCTCTGCCTTCAAAAATTTCTTCTGTGAACAAGATTAATCACAAATAACACGCAGTGTTCAGGGAACAGATGTATGTCATTACTGTAATAATACTTTACAGTGTGCCTTTAATTGCCCTGTGTTTTATAGGCAGTGGGGCAAATACTGCTTTTTGCTATACAGTGAGAAAACAGGAAGGGGCCTTTTGGAGTCTGAGTGAATCTCCTGTGAGCAGATCTTGGCGTTTTGAGTTTCATACAGGGGAATCTGGAACTCAATATTTTAAAAGAAGTGTATATACATGTATATATGCATATGTTTTACTTAATATAGGCATGCTTGGAGATTGATCACTGTAACTAGAAGAAATAGGCAATTAGGATCCATTCTGAGCAAGAGACGGAGTGTTCCTTTTTCCCAGCTCTCTCAGCCACATACTTTGAATGTAAATCGGGCCCTTAAGTTTGGATTTTCCTGTGAATCATCTAGCTAATCCTCAGTGCAATTCTTAAACCAGCTTTACTCATATTGGTGTGACTGGCAAATAGAAATTGGTATGCTTGTTAAGCATACTCACCCGGTACTCCACAGGGCTTGTTCTGCTCAGGTCACTAAGTGTTTCACATGTGCCTGAGCTGCTCGCTGGTGGTCACACAAGCAACTGTGCCAGTGGGGAGGTGCCCCTATGACAGAGCAACTCCCCGGAGAACTGGGAATACAAAAGAAATAGAGGAGATTGGGCCAAGGTGCCGTTGTGTTGAATAGGAACAACACAGATGCATCAGCTTTCCTTAGCAGGCCTTCCTGTGCCCAGCATAGATCTGGAGTTTTGAAAAGAAGGAGGTCAAATACCCCAGCTGCCTGCTCATGGAACAAAAAAAAACCCAGGAGACACCTTCTTATGCCCATAAACTTTAATGACAAATAGACCTTTCCAAAGCACTGTACCACTTGTCCTTTGGGCTGCAACTTCTGTCTCCCAATTTACCAGTTGCCCACGTGTGCTTCAAAAACCTCTTCTTTCAGTCAATTAGCTGGAGCTAATTCAGCCAGCTCATCACTAACACAGTAAGCTGTCTGATAATGTCATGGCTGTTGTGAGGAACGGCTACAAGGGAACATAGAAGATACCCCCTGACGGAAGAGGAGGAGGAAAATACTGACAGATCTTGTTAAAAACTTCTGTGAAGTTAGTGGGGGGCAGGAGAGAGTTGATAGATTATTTGGGGAAAACAAAGGAATATTTTTTTAAACAATGCTTTAATAAAAGCTTAACAGGATGGCCTTTGGTCACCTCCATCTAATTTTCCTAACTTTGCCTGCATTGTTTTCACTGGGGCTGCATGGGTGTTGGAGTGAAGAATGTGGCTCTATGTGTATTGCAGTTTCATTACTGTTGAAATACAGCCATCTCCGGGACAGAATGCAGAGCTGGCTTGTGCCAGCAAACTCTGAAGTTTAATGGGCATGTGGTGCCAGGGAATGTTGTGCTGGCTGCATGCCAACTAGCTGTGAACTTTTCTAGAAATTTGTCCTGAAGGGAAAAGAAATGTCATTCGGTTGATCTAGGAGGATGATTTGCTTTCAGAGAGGAAGCAAAGTTCTTGTCTTTTCCAATGAATGGACTGAAAGGGGTCGATTCTTAGCTCTGAGACTCAGTTGCTCCAGCAAGAGAGTGTTTACTAGATCAGAATGTGCTTTGGATCGTGAGAACAGTGAGACAACATCTCCAACACTGAAGAAAAAATGTTATTTTTGAGACATAGGTGCATGAGATATCTTTATCATTCTTTATCTTTCAACATGATTTTTGTTTGGTATTTCTCCATACTCTGAAGATTTAGTCACGTAGAGTGGGAACACCTGCCTGCCTGAATACCTCCTTGAGATGTTTCAGAGACGTGTCTTCCCCTGCAAACTCAGTGCAATTTCTCTGTGTCTTCATGTCTGTTGGTACAGCTTCAGCCTGAGATTTTTACACTGATTATTATCAGTTCTACTAGTTCATCATCTTCTGACATAGCTTCCATTATGCAGTTCTGCATCTTAACCTTTCTTCATTGCACCTTCTTGATGTATTGCCATTTACTAATCAAAGTTGTTTAAACCCGGGTTTATTCACAAACTTGACTTAAATTTAACTCCAAGATTTTTTTTCCCCAAGTCTTTTTCACTTTCCACATGTTTATCTCATGGTTGAGGAAAGTCCTCAGTCACTTCTCTACTCCTCTTCCTACTCCAAACTATCTTGAATTAATGCTTTTTCCTATCTCTTGGGGATGTTCCATGGCTCTTCCATTTTATCTGTCGGTATCTCGTACTGGGCTAACCTTTTTCCCTGCTATAGGCCCAAATCCTACTATTTGTTCATATAATATAGTCCTCCCTTTGTCTTGTGATTTTTCTCCCTCCCTAGCCTATGATAACTGCTTTGAGGAGCAAAATTTACCTTTGTTTTTCTAAGCTGGGGAAGAGCAGGCAACTGACATTACTGCAATTTAAATTGTAAATGTCAGCATTTATTTACAGGGGTCTCATTTAAAAATCTATTTTATCCTGTCTTTGAGAAACTATTTTTATATCACTGCAGTTAGTTCAGATAAAGCAGGGAACAGCTGTTTCACAACATGGTTGTTGTGAAAGCCCAGTACAAGTGCAGAGAGATTCAAGAAAATGCCCTGAGCTCTGGAATTTAAACTCTTAAAAATAAGGATTAATTTGGTAAAAGGAAAAGCCTACTTTATTTTATCCTGTGTTTAAAAGATCTTTCAAATTGCACTGGACAACCAGCTGATCAGATAAGGAACAAGATTGTCACAGCAACATAAGTGTTTTAAAAGAGTGAATGAAGAATAATGTATCCAATTGGAACTAGAGAGGGAATGTAATTACCTGGAGCAGAATCTGTCCAGGATACGGACAAACACTTCTCCCTCTCTCAAAAAAAAAAAAAAAAAAAAAA